TACTTCTGTCATGTTTAAAAAGTGCTGTAACTTTATAGTGCTATAAAAAGTGATCTAAATTACAGTACTGTGAAACATGTATGGAGCAGTTCTGTACACACCTCTACTGCCAAACTTATCTCAGGTACAATGGTGAATCTTGTGGAAGCTTTAAAGATACAGTGGATTGTACCTGGAATAGAAGTTGTAACAGAGATGATTTCAGAGGGTGATACCAGGTAGCTCCATGTGCTTGGAGAATTTCAGAATAACTCCAAGCACTCACTGTACTTCGTGGCTGCAAGCAGCAGCACAGAGCACACAGCACTTCTAATAAAGATCCAAGTTGTTGCAAATGGAGTCCAAATGGAGTCACTTTATTACTGCACAGAGCTCTGCGCATGAAACAACCCACCTCTGCTGAGCAGACTATGGCCGAGGGGGCATATGGGAGCAGAGTAACAGTGGGCAGCACCCACCAGGGGTTTGCTCTGGAAGGTGGAGTGGGCAACAACGAGGGGAAGGCCAGATCTCTTTGCTAACGCCTCCCACCACCCCTCTGCAGCTTCACTCGGGTCCCAACATTTCCCCCACAACCCGCATTGCCTAAATTGGTGGCGGTGGCCTCCAGCGCCCCATGTGATCTCCAGTTCTTGCCACTCCCTGGTTGGGAGGTAGAATGGGGTTTTTGTGTGAGCATCTGCTCCTCCCCATTCCTCTCCTAGTGCCCAAGGCTGCAAGGTCCACGTTGCATGCCAAGGCTAGGGCTCGGGCCATGGCTCCCTCCCCTCCCTTCAGCATGCGCTACCTGTGGCCAGGGTGGCACCTTCCATCAGAGCAGGTGGGCTGTCATGTGACGTTAGAGCCATTGCAGAGGCTCTGCCACCCCCTGAGGCACATGGTGGGGAGCTCTGGCCTTTCTTGCCCCTGTCATACATTATATATATCATGCAGTTGACTGGTTAATGGTGCAATAAACTTAGAATGGCCACAGTGCAAAGTAAGAGGGGCCACAAGTGAAAAGTAATGATTGCACCATTAAGTACTGAGTCTGGCAGTACATTTAGAGGGGCCACACATGCAAAGTAATGCTAACAGGATTAAAAATGACTGTCTAGCTAGGAAGAGAGCCACCTAGTTACAACCATAGTGACTGAAAACATAGAACAGCTCTAGAGCTGATTTCTTTCCAGCTTAAAAGGGAACATGTGTGGGGGAGAGGGGGTCCCCGTGTTGGGACTCCATGGCCAGAAAAGCCTCTTGTTCTGTTCTGGGCTCAATGAGCTTTTGGCAACACAAGACTTGCTCCGGTATTTTTTCCATGGTAAAAAAAATGAGTGAAAGCCAAAAGCCAGCATTGTCTGAGGGGGTGTTTGATTCTAATGAGGTTGAGAAGCACCCATGTGGGCTGTGGAAACAGGCACAGAGGGCAACAGGGTGACAGCAGCCCTTGACACACACCTAGATACAGTGGGAGCCCAGTGATGCATACTGGGGACAGAGCTGCAGCAGGTGGTAGCATTTTTGCCACTCGCATTTTCTCTGCTGGGTTATTCTTTCTGTTCCCTAGACAAACAATATATTCACACAAGCCTCAGTTATGTCTGCATATGCGCCAGTTGAAAATTTCACTGAAATCCAAGAGCAGATGCATGTACAACTACACCAGGTGGCTGTGCTGTATGTGCTGCTACAAGTGACAGCCTCCTGTATGGGACAGGAGTGGCTGGTGGGCAGGCAGGGAAATGGGGAAAGTGGCAGTGTGAGGTGGAAAGGAAGCAAGTGGGCATGTGGGAGCACAGGGGAGAAGGAGCACCAGGCATGGGCTAGCAGTGGTCTATGGAGCTGGGCTAGGCTGTGCCAGCAGGGAGAGAGGGGAGCTGGCCTGGCTGTATAGAGCCCCTGCTGGCCGGGACCCCACGCTTTTGCCGCCCCACTCTATGCCCCGCTGGTGCTGGCCCTGGGGCACCGGCACAGGCCCCACACTCCCATCTGGCTGTCACTGCACTCCCTTGTGGCTGCTCACTCCCCGTCTCCCCTGCCCCAGGCCCATGGTACAGGTGGGAATCAGCATTCATAGCCCTGACCCTGCTAGCCCATCTGGGCTGAACAGGGGCAGTGCAGGACACACTGCTGCTCAGTGTGGGGGGAAAGCGGCCCCTCCCTCTCCCACTGCTGGCACTTCCTGGTGCAGCTTCCTGAAGCCCGCACAGGGCTTCCCTGCGGGGCAGTGGTGGCAGCACAGAGCAGATACAGGGCAGCCCTACCTGGGCTCCGAACAGCTGCACCAGGAAGCGCTGGCAGCAGGAGGGGGAGAGGCCACTTTTACTCCATGCAGAGCAACAGGTTCTGTCCCATGCCACTGCTGCTGAGCCTGCACCCCAGTGCCAGTCCTGGGCTCGCCTGTCCAGGCTGGGCAGAAACTGCTGCTTGGTGCGGGGAAAAGCAGCTCCTCCCCCTCGCTGCCGCTGGGCAGTTTTTGGTGTGGCCACCTGGAACTTGCACCATGCTGGGCCACCCTGCGGCTCCATTGCTGCCGCCTCTCAGCTGCCCAGCGTGGCAGCGGTAACAGTGTGGAGTACTCGCAGGGCAGCCTGGAGCCAGTGCAGGGCACACAGGGTTGTGGCTGCACAGGCTGGTCCCTGCCACAACCACTGCATGCCCAGGACTCACCTGGCCAGGCAGTGCAGAACAGATGCGGTGTGCACTGGGGCTGTGCGCTGTTGGTGGTGGCTGGGAGGCACCGCAGGGCGCTCGGGCTTTGGGCTGTTGTGGGCTGGGGGTGGGTGCTGACCAGCTCAGGGGGACATGTGCAGGGGGGGTTCCCATGAATACCCTACATACCCTCAAGCCCTTCCCACAAAACCCACAGCCACACCCTCCCCCACATCACACACCCCACACACACCATACCCCCACACACCCCCACAAACTCCCCATACACACATACCTCCCCACAAACCCCACATCCACCCACACCCCCAACACCCCTGAACACCCCACACAATATACAAGAGTAAGACTGCATTTTGACCTATTACTAGTGTTCCGCATTCTTGGTTTTTACCCATTTTCATTGATAAATTCTCCGATTCTTTATAAGTCATTTGTTTTTTACTGATTTACACCCATTTTTCAGTTCAAATCCCTGTTAACTAGCACGAGTGGGGAAAGGCTCATTCCCCACTCATGCCAGTTAACAGAGATTTGAACTGAAAACTGGGTGGTGCCGGTAAGCTAAAAGTGCCACTGTGCCAGTTACCGCGGGGCAGACCAGGCCGGGCCTGGCTGGGGCGTGGGAATCGCTCCTGGAGCAGGCAGGTCCAAACTACACCCCGGAGGCTCTGGCTTCGGCCCTGCCACCCCACCCTGTGCCCTGCACCCACTGACAGCTCCTGCTGCTTTGCTCCCTGCTGCAGCTCCAAGAGCGGCTGATGAGCCATGCCGTGCCCTTCCCCTAATCCCAGCCTTACTCCCTCCCTCCCTCACTGCCGATTTAAACTGATTTTTTTTCCCCTTTTACCTAGATTTCATCCCAGTTTTTATGTTTCAAAGGTAAACCCTGAAAAATTTCCAGATTTTTTTTTTTAAATAAAAACTGAGAATGAGGAACACTGCCTATTATACAATCACTTCTACATATACAGCACAAACACACACAAATCAGGACAAAAATATATTTTGAATTAAATTAAAAATATATTATTATGGGTTTTTGATTTTTAGTATATAGCCTTTTTTTTCCCCTGCTCTAAGATGGCAAACCTTCTTCCCCAAAGGAGTACTTCCAGGGGCAAGGGGAGGGACTTCTGGTGGCAAAGGTCAGAGGGTATGGGTGGGACTTTCAGGCACAAAGTAGCGGCCAGGGGACAGGGCACCTGTCAAGGGGCAGGGCTACCCATGCAGACCTCAACAGCTTGCCAAAACTTGGTAAGCAGCCCTCCACCCAAAATAACTGCCCGCCCTTGCAGTAGCGTATTAGCACTGTCCATGCTGTGACATGCTACTGCTGTGTTATTAAGCTACTGCACAGTTAGCATCTCATGTAGACACACCCTGTGTCTGTTCCCTTTTAACACCAATGTAAATATGCCATGTGTCCATGTCCTTACAATTTCTGTTATGTGCTTTTTTGTATGGGGGGGGGGAATTTCTGACTTGCCTCTGTCTCCTCCTCATGTGTCTCTGTCCTTTAATCTTGCCTCTTCTGCCTACCACATGCTGACCCTAATGTCCCATCCCTTCTAGGATACAAACATGGCCCCATGCACCCCTTCTTGTTGAACAGCAGCACAGAGAACATTGTTTATGGTTATATAAAATCACTGCTACAGAAAAAAAATGCTGATCTGTTTTGCTGTCTTTTTCATAGCCAGACTAGTTGAAAATAACTCTGTATTTAGAAGTAAAAACAATCAAAATAGGAGTACAAAATTAGTCCTGGACTGTCGCGACTACCACAAAATGTCAACCATCTTTAATTATGATACTAGGCTGACCTTAACCAGAGCTATACTTAGTTGCCCACATTTTTTTTTAATTCATCCAAACCAATTTAGTTACCTTCAGATGGCAGCCCTACGTGCCAGAATTGATTTTAAAATCCCTGGTTGTAGCCCTTACTATATTTAAGGCCTGAGTCACAGTTGCCCTAGGCCCCTGTATGCAAGTGTAACCAATGCAAAAAGCCCGCAGAGCAATTGTGGTCCCCAGTGGGGATTACCACTGAGACTGTAAACCTTAGGGCACTGTTCCTGCCTGCAAGAGGGAAGAAAAGAGCATTCCTATGCTCCAGTAATCTTCGCTGTCAAATTGAGGAAACTTGCAGGTGCCGGGGTACAACTACAGCTGCTCTAATATGCTACAGGAGACTGAGCTGGCCCTAGCAGTCTCAGAATAGAGGAGGCCCAAGACATCCTGTAGGATAATGCTGACACAGAGACAAAGTCCTCTCCTCAGGGCTTTCTTGTGATTAAATTAAACTCCCGTGGCAGGGAAAAATAGAGGCTTAGACGCATATACAACATTAAGCAGTAGCCAGGTATCCTTTTTTAATCATTAGGTGCCCAAATCCTTGCACAAACTTTGTGAAGGCTAACAGGGAACTAAACCATTCAAAAGTCCTCATGTACAGACTGCCAGTCTTCCTAAGGCACATACTTTCATACAGCTACCAGACAACAGCGCAGAGAGGAATTCCCTCATTTTATCCATCAACCAGTAAAGATAAAGCCCCTGATCCTGCAAATGCTTAAAACTTTGTCCTCAAACTTCTAAGACTCAAGGCACCCTTTGGAAAATTCCATCTCTTAGCTTTTGCTCACATTTTAAATATGGAAAAATAGAGCAGTTCTTCTGCTGCAAAGAACTTGAAAGACCACAATAGGTCAGAAATGTTTTTGACATTATGATGGATTCTTCTTTGAAATCTCTGGGTTTACTTTGTGAATCATGTGTAACTAGGAACTTGACTCCTTTTTCTTCACTTTTCCATGACTTTCATGTTTTCCACAATATCCGTGGACTGTGGGAAGCAAGCAGAGACTATCCACCCAGGGATATCTGTTGGTGTCTTTTACTCCTTCCTTCCTCCCAGTTTTAACTTATGATAAAGACTTTATATGTTGGTGGGTGGCCAAGACGCTGTAGTCTTTGGATTCAAGACCTTTTGAATATATGTACATCTTTAGGAACTTCAGTCTCTTATTTGTTCACTGTAAGAAGCAAACAGAATTGGGCAGCTGGAGAATACCTGTAGTGAAAAGACAGAACAGCCTGTTGTGCAAACAAAAACCCATAAGAGACATAATTCTGGGAAGAGCTACATGTAAGGAATTGAGGAGTTGGAATGCTGCTTTAATTTTGTTTTACACACACACACACACACACACACACACACACGTGCACGTGCACGCTCTTTATGTTATGATTGATATACATTATATCTTTTAAATGCTGGAAATGCTGCTTTTTCTATATTCTGGGGGGGGTGGTGTTCTTACCTTTTCAATGTAATTTTGCAATGCTTTCTCCTTTTATGTTAATTTTTGCTTCTTTGAGTCTTTGCTATTGTGCATAAACTTTTTTAAAAACCCTCTAAGACAGGGTTTGGAAATCTATAGATCCAATTTGCCAAGTGATTTTATCTTGCCTGAAAAGCTGGGATATCAGCAGCAGGGGATGGTGGTACTTGGGGGCAGCAGTGACCAGGTCAGAAGTGGTGCCCCCTCTGACATAAATCTGTTAATATGGTCCACTGCTCCTAAAAGGTTGCCACTTTTACTCTAGGTTAAATTATTCATGTCCTATTCTACATCCCATTTTCAAAAGTGCTTTACACATTTAGGAGCTTACATCCTACTGAAAGTCAATGGGACTTAGACTTCTAGATCAATTCTAAGAACTTTTGAAAATGTTACCCTTTGTCTCAGTTGCTCAGATTAAGATAAACTATACTAATTTTAAATATAATATTTCCATGGCAGTGAGTGGGAAGTGGAATGGTATCTTTGTAATCCCTTTCCTCTTGCTCTTTCTTTGTATCACAAGTCAAACCTAACACCCTGAGGTGCAGCTGCTTCATTTTAAGTGCTCAAATTGTGCCATTTACTTGGCACTCCAAAGAGAGGATTTGTTAAAGTTAAGCACATGCATAAGTGTCTGCAAGACTGTGGCCTATTTCCTACAGTGATAACCTACACTCTAAATCTAACTGATTTTATACGTTATAGCACTAAATTGGAATAGATAAGCTCTTAGTAAGTAGACTGCTCTCAGTGCTATACTTTATCTGGTGGCCATGGTGTCCCAGGGACAACAGGACTAGAGGGAGACCCCGGCCCAGAGCCAGAGGAAATACTCACTTATGCTTCGCAGGAGGTGGGAGCAGTGGCGGCGTGCAGGCCGGAGAACCACCCGCACGGCTCGTTAGCCGCGCTTTCATACGGCTGGGGCGGAGTGACGTCAGAGACAGGCGCCGCTCAGCGGAAATAAAATGCGGCCCCGAAGGCAGAGGGGGCGCGCTGCGGGAGGACGTGAAGCCCGGGGGGAAGCCTGGGAGTGGAACCGGGCACCTGCAAGGAGCCTTTGCCGTGGGCTGAATAGGCTGCAGCAGCGCCAGGAGCGACGGAGGCTGGGAGAGCCGCAGCCCCGAGGAAGAGCAGCGAAATTGACGAGGGAGCCGGCAGAAGCTCCAAAGAGGAGCCCAGAGAGAGGGCCAGCTGGAACCACCGGTGAGGTAACTGGGGACGAGCCGGCAGAGGCTCCGAGGAGGAACCCAGAG